AATCAAATTTCCAATAAAGAAGTAAATAAAGTAAAACCACATTGACTTAAGTGGAAAAACCAGATTGCTGGGCATATAGCTCCAGAGTGTGCATCATTTTCTTGCACTAGCACAACGTGGCACTATGGTCATGGTTGCCAGTTATAATTTAACTATACTGTATTTGGATGTTTTAAGTGAGATATATTTCCTATTTATTTATTTTTTTTTTTGGCCTGGGAATCTTCCAATACCAAAATTATTCTTGTGGAATTAAATATATTTTCCTTAAAAGATATTACTATACATCAATAAAAATAAATGAATAACAAAAAAGATATTTAGTGTTTGATGTCAAACTGCTCGTAATTACTACATGCATATTGAGAAGTAAACTTCCTCATTATAAGCTCTAACGCTTCAGATCATCTGAAAAATCCTACACTTCACATGACTTAATTGAATGAAAATTGGTCCAGGACAACCACATGGTCATGTGTATTAACGTAGAAACCTTTATGGTTCATAATCTGAAACAAAAATTTACTTTGAGAAGTCTTTTATTCCTACTATTGTCATTTTAGTGATTTCATTACACATAAGAGTGAACATATCTTGGACTTTCAGTTGCAAGGTTAGCAAGATTTGTGTATTGATTTGCTACTGAAAAACCCTTACTGTACTCTCAAAAAGAAATAATGAATATTTTCTAGCTTTACACTTTTTCACAGAACAATTTAATATTGATTAATTTCTTCACTGACTCCTTCACATCTTTGTTTCTGAGGCTGTAGATCAGAGGGTTCAGCATGGGGATGACCACGGTGTAAAAGACAGAGGCCACCTTGACCATAAGCCATGAACTTTTGGAGTTAGGGACACAGTAGAGGAAGAGGATGGTCCCATGGAAGATGGTGATGGCAGTCAGGTGGGAGGCACAGGTGGAGAAGGCTTTGTGGCGCCCCCCAGTGGAGGGCATCTTCAAGATAGTGATAAAAATGAAAACATAGGAAGTGAGAATGATCACCAGGCTGCTTACTTCATTGAATGTGGCAGAGACTAAAAGGACCTTCTGGCTAATGTAGGGGTCAGAGCAGGAAACAGCAACAATGGTGGAGTATTCACACACAAAGTTATTTATGA